TATCCTCATATCTTAAATATGATATGTTAGATGATTTCATTGCTCATCAAACACTCATTCTGAGGCTTTAATGTTATTTTTTCCATCCCATAGATTTCCTGCTCTGTCCTTAACTAATTCTCTAGTGTCTGTGGCTTTCTGCTTTATGTTGTAATGCCTTTGTTTTGGTCAGTGTAACTCCGACTTCCAGTTGACCTAGTTATATTCCAGCAGCATGGGTTACCTTGGAAGAAAACAGCATGTTTCATTTCAGTCATGAAGTCTGCCTCAATATATGCAGGAGGTAACATTCTCTGAAATGAGATGCTGATTCAGTGTTATAAAAAATCCAGATCAGGTGTTTTTAACTTGCAAACATTTATTACAAATATAAACATTAGCAGACCTACATACAGTGCAAGCTTGATCATCAGGCAGGCTCCCTCCTGTTGGTGTTGTCAATCTGGCAACCTGCGAGAGCTTCAAGTTGGAGGAGGAGGGGCAGCGGTGAAAAACTCCATATGCAATATTTTGAATTTGGACTCCAATACCTAGTTCAACTACTAGGCCAATCCTGCATTTTGTACCTTTAAATAATAGACTAGATTTTTTTTGTCATGTTCTACAGCTCACAGCACGCCACAAACTAAACGCTTATTACCATACCTGAATTTGCGGTCATGCCCCATTCACACAGGTCATCAGCTTCAACGCTAACTATTCACTTTGAATGGGTGATGTCAAACGTTGCCGAACTGCATTGTGGATCCGTCGGCGCCACTTCAGAGGCGTTGCTCGCTGCAGAAGTTGGGACTTGCTCAATTTTTCAAGCGCCGACGGAAGCCTCAGCCAATTAGATTGCTGTATGCAAATACACAAGCTCAGACAGTGGCCTATTGCTGACTAACTTTATTGGCTGACGCTGCTATGATGATCGCGTCAGCTCCAACTTCAGACACGCCCTCTGTCAAGCATTGACGCTAAAGCTCCGAGGTATTCCTCAAGACAGATTTTACCAAATAAAGTCCAGTCTAGTGACTGGAACTTCACCAGAAACATTGGAAAATATATTTGACCAAAACCTCTATTATAATCACTACTTGAGCCGGATGTTTCTCATTGGTAAATCTGTAGAATAATATCCAATAGCACACTTTCAGCATTATAAATGCAATGGCTATTAGTTCAGTGATTTTCCTTCGGCTTAGTGCCCTATTTATCAAGGGTCGCCACTGCAGAATGAACCACCAACTATTCTAGCATATGTTTTACATAGCAGCTGCCCTTCTAGCCACAACCCAGCACTGGAAAACACCCATACACTCTCACATTCACATTCACCAATTCACCTAGAGCACATGTCTGAACTGTGGGGCAAACCGGAGCATCCGGAGGAAACCCATGCAAACATGCAAACTCCACACTGAATTGCCAACTGGCCTAGTCGGCACTTGAACCAGCAACCTTCTTGCTGTGAGGTACTGTAACAGCACTACCTACTACAGCACTACTTACTGGGCCACTGCCTCGCCCTTTTTGTAATTTCTAAATAATTAAATCATAGAAGCAGCCAATGACTATCAAAGTAACCTACACTGTTCACAGTCAATTAAACAGTGCTAATGTTGTCTTGAAATCATACTTGCATTTGAATTCAGACCGAATATTTAAAGTTGCTTGTCAAAATTGTCACTTTTCAAAAATGAATGAATGTGTGAATATAAAACCAACTTTACCACAATTAAAACAATCTGAAATTGTAACAAAAAACAATAGCTACTATGCTGCATTGATTGTGGTAAAGTTGGTTTTATATTCACACATACATTCATTTATTTTTGAACAGTGACAGCTTGTGACACGCTACTTTGAATATTTGGTCTGAGATTTCATGCAAAAAAACAAAAAACAAAATGCAAAACAACATTCACACTATTTAATTGACTTTGAACAGTGTTGTTTTTTGATAGTCATTGGCTGCTAATATGAATTCTGAAAACGCAAATATAAAACCAACTTAACATCAATGCTACGTTGTTTCAGTGAATATTTTTCTCCCAGTAGCCTATACACACAACAATATACAGAAACAGTACTCATCTGAAAATGTTTGAAATGCAGTAGTTTTTTTTTTTACCATGTTTATACTGTAACAATTAGATAAGAGAACAGTTATGAAATGAAGAAGTTATGCTTATTTGTACAATAGATAAATAAAAGACTACAGAAAATCATGGCTAGGTAACGGTGTCCACGTTAAAAAGTCTTAAGATATTTTAAATCTCAGTGCCTAAAATGCCTTAAATCTACTAAAATGTTGTGTTATAGGTCTTAAATCTAGGTCTTAATTTTTATTTGTTCATCTATAGCTACCCAGTCTGGCCATTAACACCCATGCAATCACCAACAATCCATCTCAATAAAACTTTTAACTTTTTATTTAAAACTAGCATTTAATTACTTTCCTTACAGTAACATTTGCTTAAAAATTCTTCATTTGTTTACTGCTGAGGATACTGACCTGACCTTTATTTTTTAATTATTAAATTATTATTGTTGTGAACTGAAGTAATTGACAACTATGTTTTGTTCTATTGGGGGTAAGGGTTATAGTGTTTGTGAATTAATATATTTGAAAATTAATATTAATAAAAAAATCTAACTAAATTATTATTATTGTATTATTAAATGTAGAACATTTTAATAATTTTTGATAGGGCATGCGTGATTCTGTTTTTAATTGGGATATTTTAAAAACATCCTAAGCATTTCTCTATTTATAAGTCTAAAATTTCATTCATAATGGTATTAAAAATGTCTTAAAGTCTTAAATTTAACTTTGTGAAACCTGCAGAAACCCTGGATAAACTCCTGACATCTGAAAAATATCGTAGATATCCTTGTTTTGTTTTTTTTGTCAGAAGTAATTGAGAAAGATATTTTTTACATATACAGTCAAGCATGAAATTATTAATACCCCATGGCAAATTCTGGCTTAAAGATTGTGCTTAAATGTAAATAAAAGCTGATTTTTTTTTTCAGCAATCGTGGCGCTTGTACATTGTCTTATTATCTTTTGGGAGAAGCCTGTGTCATTTCCGGTCAAAATAACCATGTTGGTTGTATAAATGTAACTTTAAGTCAGAATTTGCCTGGGGTATGAATAATTTAGGCTTAATTGGCCACAGCCATAAAATCATGCAGCCCAAGAGCGGTGACTCACTGAAGCTAAGTAGGGCTAAGCCACGTCAGTATCTGGAATGGGAGACCACATGGGAAAACTAGGTTGCTGTTGGAAGTGGTGTTAGTTAGGCTAGCAGGGGACGCTCAACTTGTGGTCTGTGTGAGTCTTATGGCCCGTTTTCACTGAGTGGTACGGTACGGTTTGGTTTGGTTCGCTTTTATGGCCGTTTCCACTGTCAAAAGGCGTACCAAACCGTACTGTACCACTTTTTCGGGACCCTTTCGAAAGGGTCCCAAAAGGAGGAGCTACACGCGCAGCTAAACGCTATTGGTTTACAGAGATACATCATTCGTAGACTCAACAAGCCAGAATGTAAACAAAGGACCCGCCATGTTTGAAATACACAGCGAGAGATTACAGCGGAATTATAAATACATATGCAGCCATGGTCGATCCTGCAAACAAACCCTGTCGTCGTCATGATAAACAGCGACAAAGCCATGGAGAAGAGCAGATTCACCCTGTGCCGCGTAGTTTTTAACGAGCCAGTCTGAAGCCTGAGTGATTTCGCTTTCTTTATTGCGCTCGCCGCGCGTCTCTATCTGAAATAACAAACTTCTTGATCTGATTATAATAACATGCACTCGATTATTGACAAGCTTTGGATACCCGATCCTGTGAGAAGCCGACAAGCTTTTCCCGCGAGCGCGGGAAAAAAGGCGAAGCCGAGGAGCACGTTATTTCTTCAACAAACGTGAATAAACTGCCTTGTATTAATCTTTATTATCACTTTTTGGACTAATATGAACGGGAAATGATGGAATAACTCTCTAACTGAGGCTTCATGTGCTGCTGAAGATTACAGACACAGATGAGAGGTTTTCACTGACTGTAGGCTATACTTTGTGCTGTTATGAACCTAAATAACAACGAAATGTCTGCTTTGTGTAACGTTAGTTCTTCTTTAACGTTAGTTGGTAACATATCGGAGACTGAAAGGGTCTGTATGTGTTCATATATGTTATTTTATTTATTTATTTAATATAATTATAGACGTTACAGTAGGCTATTTCGCACAGTCATTGATCTGCAGTTATAATCAACTCCTGTTTATAGAAAATTTAGTAATAAACATTTATACACAAGTATTTATGTGTAAAGCATCTGTTTTGTGAGAAGTGCTTTTCATATGATATGTGAGCGACCTGTGCAGCTTTATTGTAGACATTTTCTCGAGCGAAAATGACATCGACTGAAACTTTGTCATACACCACGCCCACCAAAAGGGTACCCTTGGTAGTGGAAACGCAAGCCTGATAAAGGTGACCAGTACCGACCCGAACCGTACCGTACTGTACCAGTCAGTGGAAACGAGCCATTAATGCCCCAGTATAGTGAAGGGGACACTATACTGTCAGTAAGCGGCGTCTTTCGGATGAGAGGTTAAACTGAGGTCCTGACTCTCTGTTGTCATTTAAAATCCCATGGCACTTTATCATAAAAACCAATGGTGTAATTCCCTCCATTGGCCATTAACGATTATGGCCTCCCAATCATTCCCATCCACCAAATTAATTTTATCACTGTCTCTTCACTCTCTAATAGCTGGTGTGTGGTGAGCACACTGGCGCCATTGTCCTGTGGCTGCCGTCTCATCATCCAAGTGGATGCCCATGCTGCACACTGCTGGTGGTGTAGAGAGACCTCCCCCCATGATTGTGACGCGCTTTGGGTGTATGGCCAAATGCACTAAATAAATACACACATTACAGTAACAGTATTACATTTTTGAATGTAGCTTCTTTGGCGATACAATATAATATAGCGGAGACAAGGACAGGTTGTTATGCATTTTATTCCAGCCATCATTTGCAGTGTGAAATAGTCCATCACATAACAGTTTTGCATACAGAATAAAACATACAGTTGTCAAAAATACGCTTGCTTTACAAATAGCTCTTTTATGTCGAAAGGGAATATTCACATACAGTAGTATTTACACATAATACACATAAAGCAATTTAGTAAAGTGCAGCAAACTGTAAAGCATCAGCGGTTATAACTTATAGAAACAGTACACATATAATGGTAATAGATATATTTATGTAGCAAGTTATACAGAATTATATTAAGATTTTAGAACTATTAGATTTTTATTATGTATTAATTGTACATTTCTGCCTAATTGTTGAAAGTACCTGCAATATGACGCTGTTTCCTGTTTTGGCATTGTGAAAACATGAATAGATCAAAAGAATCCTCCAATTTTAGCTGAATTAAGCTGAATGAAGTTTCTCAAAATTGTGAGATTAAAAAGCCAATATTATTAATTCATTCATTTTTCTTTGGCTTAGTCCCTTTATTAATCTGGGGTCACCACAACGTAATGAACCACCAACTTATCCACCATATGTTTTACGCAGTGGATGTCCTTCCAGCTGAAATCCAGTACTGGGAAACACCCATACATTCTCGCATTACACATACACTACGGCCAATTTAGTTTATTCAATTCACCTATAGCGCATGTGGTTGGACTGTGGGGGAAACCGGAGCACCCGGAGGAAACCCACACCAATATGGGCAGAATATAAAGAATAGAAACGCCAACAGGCCTAGCCGGGACTTGAACCAGCGAACCTCTTGCTGTTAGATGACAATGCTAACCACCATACCGCCAAGTCAATAACATTCTCCATGTATAAAAAATATAAAATACTTTTGTTTTCACCAGATTTCTTACACAACACTACAGTCATAAACAGGAAATAGATTAGATTAAAACAGACTTGATAAGGGTTATTTTGGCCTCCTGACATCGGTGCTGGAATTTTACCAGCACTAAAAGGAAACTCATCCTGCTTTAGCTTAAATCAGAATTTTAGGTATAAATAATAATAATCTTTATTTTATATAGAGTCTTTAAAAAGTAGCATCTCAAAGTGCTTTACATATATAGAAAAAGTAGAGGGATAAAATATACAGTTGAAGTCAAAATGATTTTTTTTTCAAAAATTTCCCAAATGATGTTTAATTTTTCACAGTAATTCCTATAATATTTTTTTCTTCTAGAAAAAGGTATTTCGGCTTGAATTAAAGCAGTTTTAATTTTTTTAAGGTCAAAATTATTATTCAGGAAAGCTAATAATTCTGACGTCAACTGTACATACAAGGATACATGCATAAAAAAACTAGACAAAAACAAAGCCATATAATAGTGTAATGGATCACGGTTGATTTGTGATAAGTACAGATCACAACCCACGGTTCGAAACACACATTACCTGTGAATTAATAATTTTTTTTACTTGTACATTAATCCTAAACATATAACGATCGCAAAGAAATTGCCTCTTGCATCATTCAAATCACATGAATGGAAGCATTTAGGCTTTGCTGTAAATTATAATGATGACGGAAGAAGTTGTGGTAGGTTATTCATGATGTGGTGGGTTATTAAAGGTGTTTTCTGTCACTACTTTTTTTACCTTGCATTAATGAATTCAGTGTAAGCTGCAAGATTAATCTTTAAAAGATCTGGATCTCAACACCCACGCAACATAAATTATAAATGATGGTGATTTGCACATGTTTGTTAATCCTTTGAATCGCTGCATTCAAATTTGTGTTTGAAAAACACAAAAATTAAGAAAGAGATGTCTTTAGTTTACAGTCAAATAACACAGAAGTACTGGGATAACAGTTTATGGCTTAGATAAAATCACTAATGTTTATGGTAAAAATTAAATCACCATCAAATGCAATTAACTTGATGTTCAAAAATGAAACTTATAGGCAGCAATTACGTTATTTGACCAATAGGTGGCGACAACCAGCCATGAAAAATATGCCACTGAATTATTCTTCGAAAATGATCCACCAGTGAAACATGAAGTTTTATGAGTGAATAACTAAATAATTTATTGAAAATGAGACTAAAAATAAATATGGGTTGTACAAATTATAGTGATTTCTACAGTAACTGTGTATTTTCACAGTACTGAATATTTTACAAAAAAAAATTTTCAGCTCATTATTTCTTCATTTTATTTTTATTAAAATTACAGCTTCTGAGTTCTGTTGTTAAAATCAAAAGTTTCTTGCAGTACTGTTTTCGTAATAAATGGAAAGCACCCTTACAATATAATAAAAATGAAGAAATATTTGAAATCCCCCCTTTATTTTTAGATCAAATAAACCCTACCCTAAAAAGTAAGTTTTAAAGGGGACCTATTATGCCCCTTTTTTTAACAAGATATAAAATAAGTCTCTGATGTCCCTTAAGTGTGTATGTGACGTTTCACTTCAAAATACCACTCAAATAATATTTAATAATTATTTGAAACTTCTCCTTTCAGGCTTTGAGTTAAATTGTGCTATTTTTGTGACTGCCACTTTATATTCAAATGAGATGTGCTGCTTTGTAAAGAGGGCGGAGCTACAAATGCCTATGTGCCAGCATAGTGGCAGATTTAAAAACAAGAGTAATACCCTATGCTAATGAGGGAGCGATTGTCGTTAATGGGCGGGGCTTTCCCCCTCTGATGACATTGTCAATCAAAGTGTTTCTGCAGACTGTATGAAGTGTGATTATATAAAATAGAATTAATTAATTTTTACCATTATAGGCTGGGTTATATTCACAGCCTGTTACCACAAAACTGTGTTTAAACCCCTTATAAAATAGATTTTCGCATAATAGGTCCCCTTTAATTCATGATTTATCTACACTTCTGCATATCGAATATCAGAGAACTTCACAATTTAAGTGATAATCACATATTCATGTACAATTTAGCCAATAAGCAGTATTATATACACAACTAAAAAAAGAAAGTGTTCACTAATTTACATCTTAACTGACGCCTTAGTGTACTCAATACTTACAAAAGAGGATCCTGACCTGCTTCCTTTTGATAAGAGGGCTTTTGACTTTTTCCACCAAAACAGAGAGCTGATCTTCTGTCTGCATTGAGACGAGCCATAATAGTATAGCAGAGGATCCAGAAAAACACTTGCGCTCCCCAAACACACAGCCAACATGTATGCACTATAAGATGAATCTCCCTCGCCACTGTTTCCTCCAACAGCCAATCGAATGCAGTGATACAACAGGATGCCGTTGATTGGAGCAAAACACACCATAAACTCAGACAACATGGCGATAAGCATAATCGCAGCTCTCCGTCGTTTTTTCAACCATGATGGAGATTTCGATAATCGGTTGGACTTTGCACGGAGCACATATATGATGGTGGAGTAGCTCACTATGGTGATAATGAGTGGTACGAAGTAGTAAAAGCACGAAAGGATGAAGAACACATACAAATATTGCTGATCTTTAGGGTTGTTATGAATCAGCGCATCATGGCATGTGACGCCCACATCCTCAATCTGGAATGTTTGTCTCATTAATAGTAGTGGCACAGTACCAGCGAGCGCCAGCAGCCAGACTAATGCGCATATAAGCGAGGCTTTCCTTGCATTTCTCCAGGTTAAAGAGGCGACTGGAAACACCACGGCCAGCAGTCTGTCCACACTCATGCACATCATCAGCAGTATGGAGCAGTACATGTAGCAGTAATACGCTGCAGTGAGCACACGACACGCCGCCTCACCAAACAGCCAATCAGAAGCGTTCAGCTGGTAGTGGATCTTCAGAGGCAGCAGCAGGGCGAAGAGCAGATCCACACACGCCAGGTGAGACATGTAGATCACAGCTGGTTTCTTTTCTCTGATCCTGCAGGTGAACGTCACCAAAGCCAAAGCGTTCAGAGGCAAACTGATGAGGACGATGAAGATGTAGAAGGACGGCATGAAGCGGGTGACCAGCGGGCCTTTCAGGAACTCAACGGCATCATCTGAGATTTTGAATTTTTCCACGATTGTTGTCCGGTTGCATTTCTGATCAGTGTCGTTACATGGATGTGCTTTTTTAGACTGAGACACTTCTGGTTTTTCGATGGCATAACTAAGGAACACAATTTCTGCAAGCAAACATACAAAAACATAAGATTAGTGACGGCTTTTATAACACCACTATACAACTAAATATTGGCAATTTTTCAAAATTGAGATTAACAAATCAACTGAACAAATAAGCTTTCTATGGACCCTTTTCACATTTCCGGGTTTCTCAGTAGTGGAAGTTGTCATAGTTGGGTAAACTTAAGGCTGATTTATACTTCTGCGTCAAATGCACGCATATGCTACGGCGCACCTTACGCGTTGACACATAGCCCTACGCCGTGGTCGTCGGCGTCGCTGATGTGCACCTCTCAAAAAATGTAACTACACGTCGTAACGACGAGTAGGCCAAGCTCTGTGATTGGTCGACTTGGTAGCGCTGACCAGTCTGGATGGGGCCGAGAGCTGCGCGAATGGCGCGAGCCCGATGGAGCGATTGTTTACAAGTGTGGAATCCCGTGAAGGAGCTCCAGATGGAAAGTTTTGTTTTGTGTTTACCTCATAGTAGTTGTAGTTGTTGCACATCCCCCGGTTACTGCCTCAAAATGAGCGAGTTTGAGCAACTTGTACATTCAGGAAGTGTTCAGAAAAAGCAAAACACCAGTGATGAAACTCGACACAGAGGAACATTAACACGTCACTGCCAACTAGAGTTTCGGAAGTGTTAATGCAGAGGAACAAAGACAGCGTGCAGAAGTATAAAAGGTGTGCCAGAGAGTGGTTGGGTTTGGTTTTGGCGTGGTGCGCTTGTAGTGTGAGTGAAAAGCACGCCTGAGCCCGAAACTGAAGACGCAATGTCACTTTTAAGGGACTGTTTTATATGGATTTAGTCATCATTCTTAATTTTCAATGAACGCGAACTGTCATAGTTTATGAAAGATGCAAACCCATCGCTGCACACCAGCTGCACCTTTAGCAAACCTCCTAATACGCAAAGCACAAGGAGTTTTATGTGAATTTATCAGCATCAAAAGAGGTGGATCTGTTCAGCTAATTATGTGACTGTGTGTCACTGCATCCCAAACAGGCGAGAGCACTACTCTTTTTGTTAAACTGAACAGTCGCGTCATCGATGACGTTAGCGTGCTCCGGCTCCGAAGGCAAAATGCAGTGTGAGTGCAGGCCGTATGGGGAGAGGGGACATGCTGGTGACCGTTAATCACATCATAACAGTCTTGTGAAAAGCGTCCATTGATGTATTCTTTGTTAGAATATGACTTTATTTGGCAGAAATATGACTATTGGAATATCTCAGGGTATACGCAGGAATCCTACAGGTAATTTCAATACCTTTTTAAGACTTTATATTAGGAATATTTTAAGACACTTAAAATATTAAAGTATCTCATCAACACTTCAAGTTCTAATCTGTATCAAACCTTTAACTTAATAAACACTTGTTAATAAACAGTTGTAGTTAGGACCAGGAGGGGCCAAGTTGGAGAACTCACTCTGGTCCCCTGGGCTCTGCGTTGGGTGGAAAAATTCCAAACTGAACCAAAACAATCCATTACAATTGGCTTAAGATTGGCAAGCAAAATTCGGGACTTTGCAACCTGCAGACCCTGGGAACTTAAATAATAATAATAATAATAAAACAATGTAAATGTAAAAACTAAAATAAAGAGTTGTTGTTCAATATCTGTAAATGAATAAAGCACAACCATGCTACAGAACTCCGGTAAGCTCCAAAGAAACAAAGCTTGAAAGAATAAATTACGCAATTGTTTTCAGCGACAGGCTTCAGCCACTGTTTAAAATCATCTTTCTCCAACCAGGAGTACACAAACTTACAATTTCCCATTTTGCCATCTGTTTCGCTGTATAGTTTCATTACATGTGCAGAGCATCACATCACCTTCCCACGTTTGTCGCAAACTACGTGACATCACCCGGATGGAGGAGCTTGGCTGGACGCACCTGGCCCGAACCAATTGTCAAACACTTTGGAGAACACTTGAACAAAAAACTTAAGACCTCGCAACAACACAATTCAGACTTTTTATTACTTTTTATGGGCCTTAATTTTCTCATGCTTGATTTATCAACTTTTAATACTTTTTAAGTCCCCGCAGACACCCTGTATCGGCAATCTGAGGGTTCCCAAAAATCTAAATACTGAGTAAGTAAAAAAAACTAAATTAATTGCCTTACAATGAGGATTACTAATCATTTTTGGCTTAAAAGAAAAATCGAAAATTTTGACTCATACAATGTATTTGTGCTCATCACTAAAATATACATTTGCAACATAAGATTTTATGCCCCAGGGACATTTGAGTAAGAATTGTGTGTATTCGTCAAAACTTAAAAATAAGACCTTTCCAAATTTCTTTGGTTGCTTATGTGGAAGCCTTTAGACTTATTTTCATGTGAAGTACTTAGGACGTTTTTACAGGGAAAATTAAAAGAATGTGACATTTAAACTCACTACCGAGAGTTTCTCTATGGTCCAAAAAAAGGTTTTATAATGCCAAAAGCATTCAGCTTCGTATGTTATTTGTGCATGATGGGGAGTAGAAGCAACAGGCCGCCAACTGCAGTTCAAAAATGACCACCAGTGTCTCTAATGGCAAGAGTTTCGGAATTCTACATGTTGCTTCTTTTAAGGGGGGCTATTATATATATTTTTACAAGATGTATAATAAGTCTCTGATGTCCCTAGAGTGCGTGTGACATTTCAGCTCAAAATACCACACAAATATTTTTTATAACTGTTTGAAACTGCTCCTTTTAGGCTTTGAGCCAAATTGTGTCATTTTGTGCCAAAATAAGGTGGAGCGGCACGCTATAGGCAGATTTTCAACGAAGAATGTCAATCAAATTGTTTCTGCAGACTGTTTTTATTAAGTGTGATTATAAAAATAGAATTAATTCATTTTACCATTAGAGATGATTATAATCGCACATTATTTTCACACAACTGTATTAACACCCTTATAAAACTGATTTTTGCAATCCTTTAATGGTTTTTAAAGGCATATTTGGGTTTTTAAAGGGATTGCTCGCCCAAAACTGAAAATTCTGTCATCATTTACTCACTCTGCACCTTTTCATAACCTGAGCTTCTTTCTTCTGTTGAACACAAAGGATTCTTTTCTGAAAAATGCTGGATGCTGGAACCCATCGACTCCTATAGTAATTTTGTTTTCCTATGATGGATGTCAATGGGTGCAAGAAACCAACATTCTTCCTAATATATTCTTCGGTGTTCAATGGAAGAACCACATCAAGAACAATAAAAGATGAGGAAATTTCCTTTTTTGAAAACTAAAACTTTCGCTTTTACCTAAAGAACTTTAAACTTATTTTGAAAATACTGAAAACGAACATAATCAAAAGCATGAAAGTTCTGAATAAAATTAAAGAATGAAAATTCTGTACCTTTTGTGGGTTTATTTGAATTTGAGGAATTCGAGTTTGGTAATGCCTCCTCCATGTCAATCGGTTCATAGGTGTTGGTTACGTAGACCTGTTTAATAGCAAAACTGCGTCCAGGGGGCCCTGTAACCAAACAGAAAAGTCACTGACAGCTCTCATAATGTTGTTAGACAAGTAAGTGTCACATCTGTGTGGAGACCTTGAAAATTAAGACATAACTAGGCCCAAACGGAATCTGCGCGCGCAGAATTCTGCAGATTTTCTGCAGATTTTCCGCAGAATTACGCAGATTTTTAGCCCATCATTAATTCTGTTTATTTATTTAAGTAAATGTGTGTAAATCTAAATTTGTTTAGTTTTTTATTAATTACAGTAATATTATTGACTAATATGAAAATGTTTATCTGATTTATGGACAATTCAGTTTGTAAAGTTTTCTGTCTTTTAGTATATATATTATATGAGAGACTTGTTTTGTTTAAAAAAAGTGAATCTAATTAGATTTGCAATTTAAACATTAAATAAAAGTTACAAAGGTATTACTTTTTATTTCAGTAATTAAGGTTTTAGTTATGATACTCCCAAAATAATTCCGCAGAAATCCGCAGATTTTTACCAAAATTCTCTGCAGAAATAGCAAAACACGTCTGCAGATTCCATCTGGCCCTGGACATAGCTAAAGATGAATAAAGCCGTTTTTAACAAGAAGAACTTCAAGATCTGCCTACTGGATAATAGGACCTTATATGATAGACTGTGTGTAAATACTTTAACTGTGTACTTGTCTCAAATGTCTGTGCGATCACTATTGTACATCTATCAATGTACAAAAAGTGATGTAAAATTATGATTTTCGTAATTTAAAAAAAAATTGCATTCTGACCACCGGGAAAACTCCCGATCACGGATATATGTGTATATCTCTGGCTCTGGATGGTCACAGTCTTCCACTGCAGCTTGGTCCCGCATTCATTTCAAAGGAGCACTACCCTGTACTAAAATGGCGGCTCTATTAATGCATTCCTTCCAAAAGACAACAACAGGGTAGGTAGCATCTAATGTATATATCTATGTGGGTTGTGGCTAAGCATATTTCTCCCAAGCCATCAAATGACATCATCACAAGGGACTGCCATTCCAGAGCCAAAACAAATGGTCAGATTTTGATTAAAGATTACCTACATAGTTTATTTTTTCAAGTGGATTAACTAATTAACTTATTAATTGTTGACCTTAGTTTTAAAAATCTGCAATAGTAAAATAAGCATTGTACAGTATAATAATAATAGACTTTAATGACTCAAAGAAAAAACCTCTATTACAGCTCTTTTAAAGAAGTGGTTATAGCATTATTATTTCTGTAGACTCCAGAGTTATAAAGTGAAATGTTGTTGTTTTTTGTATTAGTCTGGTCACATTTGCTACATTACCTGTTCTGGGATCCTCATGATGAGCAGTTAAATAAACTGGTTGATCAGTTGTTGCATCTTCAGCTCCAACTAAAATCAAACAAAAGAGACACCAGTAAGTTCTCCTTACATAACACTATTAGATAAGAATCAGAAGAATCAGATTGTTTTCTGCCAAAATACACGGGACATTTCCCAGGAATTCTATGAATCACATCTCTATCAGAAGCTATTCTGAAGCTGTTGAGTTTCCTGGAGGGATTAAACATGCATGCACTGTAAAACATATCTTTAAATTTGCAGTTTTTCTGATTAATGTTTTTATTTTTTATGTTTCCCCATGCTTTTGAATTACATTATGCGACCTGGATTTTTCTTTCAACCACTTTTTAACCTTGAAAAGTTTGTAAAAGTGACTTTTATTGACATTTTTAATAGTTTAAAGTGATATATTGTCTGGGTTGGTTTTGTACATTATGATACAAAGACCTTGTAATAAACTGCCAGTACATTTTCTGTTATTTTACAGAGCTATTTGTCTATATATTTTAGGTATTTATAAAAAGCAATCGATCAAACATCCCCAACACTTATTTTCCCTTTGTGACTTTAACAGAAGAGGCAAATAGCTAACAGTCTCAACAGTGTATTACTGTGTTTCCTATAGATTATAGGATTTCAAATTTCTAAAATGTCAATAAAAGTCACTTTGTTAAACTGTAGAGTTTGTTAAACTTTCAGTTGAAAAAGATCACGTGTAACTTAATTATTTGTGAAATTTACCAAGTCCCAAAAACAAATAATTCATTTTTCTTCGACTTAGTCCCTCAATTCATCAGGGGTCGCCACTTCAGAATGAACCACCAACTTATCAAGCATGTTTTACCAGCCTGATCTCACGAGGAAACGTATTTTACGTTTTGTCAGTTTAGTGGCTAATTCGTACGAGTTCAGTCATACGAAAATGTAGGAGGCGTGGCACCTAACCCAACCCCTAACCCCAACCGTCATTGGGTGATGAGCAAATCATACTAAATTGTACGAATTAGATTATACGAATTCATACGAATTAGCCACTAAATCAAAAAGTTACAAATTGCTGTGAGATTGTGTTGGTTTTACACAGTTGATGCCCTTCCAGCTGCAACCCAGTACTGGAAAACATCCATTCCAGGGGCGTATAGATTTAGCATGGACGGAGGGGACTCGTCCCCACCAATATCCACCAACTATCGAAGTGTACCCCCCAATAATTTAATTCACTTAAATAAAATCATACTGTCAATATTAACCTAGACATGCAGAACGGGTTAAATCACGTTCTTTCCTCGAGTCGCACCGCCCCCAAACACACATGAACGATGTGATTGGCTGAGGCTGAGCTTTTCCCTGCTGTCATGTAAGAGGCTGTAGCTACATTCAAAACTGCAGGAGAATTTCCCATGCAAGAGTAAGGTGTGCGAGGCATGTGGCACACACGTGTGAGGATGGCGGCAGCTAAATAACGGTGGATGCTTTTGTCAACGAAAAGTGTAAGTCACATAAACCCAAGTTTGCTACTGAATAAGTCTATCATGATAATGCAGTTAATGCTTGTGTTCCACCCCGCTTAAATGTCATTTTAGTGACATTTTAAGATTTTTTTTTTTTTGCTGTAATATTTTGTTGGATAGTTATCATAACTAAACTTTCTGATGTACCAAAATATTTCCTACCATTTTCTTAAATTGCCTACCATATTATTTGAGTTTTGTTTTTATTTTAAGTGTTTGTTTACAAATGTGCTTTTAAACTGTAAGTTTTACTTTTTACAGTTTTATAAATAATTAACATTTAGAATAAAGAAATATAAGAAATATAATTATTTTTTAAATACAAATTTATTATCATCTATCATTACTTTTTTAAAAATAAAATAAATAACTAAACTAAATATATATATAAAATAAATAAACTGGCCAGAGCATTCAACTTTCCTCAGTTAGAATTTGGCCATTTGAATTATAAGAAAAATTCTGTGGTGGAAACCGGAGCAGTCTTGCTGTGAAAACAAATAATAATAAATAAGTAAAAATAAAAAAGGTTTTGGAGTCTAAATAAACGTTGTTTAGTTTAAGTTAGCCATTACATTTGTAGGCTAATAACTTTGCGGTCATAATAATCAATGCGCCAAAACAAATGGGGAAAAAACATGCTAATACAATTAGTCTATAGCGAAACAATGTTATTTCTTATAATGACTGCTATTTCATTCATTCATGATCGTTTCGTTGTTATAAAGCTCACCAGAAAACCATAAACAGCTTCTGAAAAACCATTACCTCATTTCCTTCATGCGCCAATGAACTTACCGTTAGAGAAGAGACAAATATGCGCTTGTAGAATTAAAAACAAGATGGTTTTCTTCTTCATGCTGTCCAATCAGTTGTAAAAGTGAATTTCAGTACAAAAAGTACGACACAAGCTCTTCAAACTAAAGAAATAGTGCTGGGTTGTTTTGAGGAGAGAATAGGCGCGTGAAGTGTGTCCCAGCGCGGTCTGACCCGTCTGTGCTGCGGTGTGGCTCCAGCGCGGATGTGCGTTTCAATGCGATGACATCACGAATGAAACTGTTCGTCCCATTAAAAACCAAAAGACAGAGAGTCTGAAGGACGTTCCCACAGCGAATATGGGGGAAAACAATGTTCCTTGCCTAGCTTAAATTAATAGCTTAAAGATAAACCTGAATATATAGACCTTAAATGCCTTTTTTCACAGCTGGTCTATAGAATGTTCCAGTCAGGAAAGCAGCAAATTCTTGTGAGACTGCAGACCTCCGACTGATTAAGATAATAAACTTACATATTCGCTCAGAGGCCGTTTCCGGTTTGCAGAAAACCAGTGCTGGACAGGAAAAGATATGTGGAAGGGGGAAACTGATAGGAGACTAATTGCTGTGCAGTTCCAGTAAACTAGCTTTGAAATTTGTCATTTGTGATTTATGGTTATGTTTAGAAACAGAATAATAAGAGACTTTTTGCTCATGAAAGAGTTTGGAGTTTTACATTCACTAAAAAAGGTCATATACACTCACCGGCCACTTTATTAGGTACATCTTACTAGTACCAGGTTGGAACCCCTTTTGCCTTCAGAACTGCCTTAATCATTCGTGGCATAGATTCAACAAGGTACTGGAAATATTCCTCATATATTTTGGTCCATGTTGACATGATAACATCACGCAGATCTAGATCGAACTATGTTTGCTGGGTAGATCGTCTTGACCATGTCTTCATGCCTAAATGAATTGCTGCCATGTGATTGGCTTATTAGAAATTTGCATTAATGAGAAGTTGGACAGGTGTACCTAATAAAGTGGCCGATGAGTGTGTATGTCACTTTGACGTGATTGATCCTGACTTTCAATTTCATCTTATAGACCAAGCTGGCCATAAATATAAAGGCCTACAATATATAAATATATATTTAATACATTGCTTCAAAAATATTACTGGTGCTCGAAATAGTATGTGTTCTGTGTAAATAATAATTTGTGTATCAAAAAATTAATGCATGATTAAGGAAAGTTAGTGGATTTATTTGCATAAAATGAAACGGACAATAGGCTTGCAGACATTAAGTATTAAGAACATATGTTGTATATTTTAGATTACAATTTTTTAAAAATGTTTTCCTATAAGGCAAGGCAAGGCAAGTTTATTTATATAGCACATTTCATACACAGTGGCAATTCAAAGTGCTTTACATAAACAGGAATAAAAAAGACAAGTTTAGGAACATAAAATGCAGACAATAAAAATTATTAAAAACAGATAAAAACAAATTAAAATGAGTTAAAATAGGTTATAAAAGAATGAAAAAGACAACGAAAAACATAATAGTGCGATCTGTCGGACGCAGCACAGTGCTCATTCAGTAAAGGCACAGCTAAACAGATGTGTTTTCAGTCTTGATTTGAATGTGCCTAATGTTGGAGCACATCTGATCATTTCTGGAAGCTGATTCCAGCAGTGAGGAGCATAGTGGCTGAAGGCAGATTCACCCTGCTTAGACTGAACTCTTGGAACTACTAGTTTATATGATCCTAAAGATCTGAGTGATCTGTTAGGTTTGTATTGAGTGAGCATATCTGTGATGTATTTAGGTCCTAGGCCATTTAGTGATTTATAGACCAGTAATAATACTTTAAAATCTATTCTGAATGTAACTGGCAGCCAGTGTAAAGACCTGAGGACAGGTGTGATGTGCTCTGATTTCCTGCTTCTGGTCAGAATTCTGGCTGCAGCATTCTGGATGAGCTGCAAGTGTCTGACTGTCTTTTTGGGAAGACCAGTGAGGAGTCCATTACAGTAATCCACCCTGCTGCTGATAAAAGCATGAACAAGTTTCTCTAAGTCTTCACTGGAAACAAAGCATCTGATTCTTGCTATGTTTTTGAGATGATAGTATGCTGATTTACTGACTGCTTTGACATGACTGTTGAAACTCAGATCTGACTCCAGAGTCACACCAAGATTCTTGACCTTATTTTTTGTCGTTTGACCTTTAGAGCCTAGGTACGCATTTACCTTGAGAACCTCATCTCTGTTTCCAAACACAATCATTTCAGTTTTCTCTTTGTTTAACTGAAGAAAATTTTGGCACATCCAATTTTTAATTTCATCAATGCATTGGCAGAGGGTGTCAATGGGGCTGTAGTCATTAGGCAGTAAGGCTAGGTAGATCTGAGTGTCATCAGCATAGCTGTGGTAGGAGATTTGGTTCTTTCTCATTATTTGGCTCAGAGGGAGCATGTAAAGGTTGAACAGGAGAGGTGCCAGAATCGAGCCTTGTGGGACTCCACATGTCATGGGTGTCCACCTCGACCTATGGTCACCTATACTGACATGATAACCTCTACCTTCAAGGTAAGATCTGAACCATTTAAGGACTGTCCCAGACAGCCCAACCCAGTTTTCCAGCCTATCCAGAAGTATGCTGTGATCGACAGTGTCAAATGCAGCACTGAGATCCAACAATACCAGCACTGTTATTTTACCTGAATCTGTATTTAGGCGTATATCATTGATTATCTTTATAAGAGCGCTCTCTGTACTGTGATGTGCTCTGAAACCAGATTGAAAATTGTCTAAACACCCCCTGAAGTTTAAGAACTTGTTAACCTGGTTAAAAACAACTTTTTCAATGATTTTGCCAATGAAAGGGAGATTTGAGATTGGCCTGTAATTGCTCAATAGGGTGTTATCCAGGTTGCTCTTCTTCAAGAGGGGTTTAACAACTGCAGTTTTAAGTGAGGTTGGAAAAATCCCTGAGAGAAGTGAATCATTTACCACTTTTAGGAGATCCATTTCTAAACAGGTAAACACTGTTTTGAAGAATGATGTGGGGAGCGTGTCAAGACTGCAGGTTGATGTTTTCATAGCTTGCACAATCTCTTCTAAGATTTTGCTGTTAATTGCCATGAAATCAGACATAATGTCTGATTTCTTAAGTTGTGGTTGAGCTTGTTTGATATCGACACAACTTGGCTGATTGGATGAGCTGATTGCCTTTCTGATATTATTGATCTTATCAGTGAAGAAATGAGCAAACTCATTACATTTGCTTTCAGAGAGGAGCTCACTTGGAATCTGACTGGAGGGGTTTGTGAGCCTCTCTACTGTTGCAAAGAGTGTGCGAGCATTATTTACATTGTTGTTTATAAGGTTTGAAAAGAAAGTCTGTCTAGCAGTTTTTAGTTCCACATTAAAAGCCTGAAGACTGTCTTTATAGATATTATAATGGACTACTAGTTTCGTCTTTCTCCACATACGCTCAGCTTTCCTGCATTGTCTTTTCTTCATTTGGACTGCTCTTGAGTTTCTCCAAGGGACTCTCTCTTTGCCAGTTCTCTTCCTAACTTTAACAGGAGCGATGTGATTTATTACATTTTCAATTTTAGAATTAAACAAATCAAGGAGAGAATCAACAGAGTCTGCAGATATACTTGGTGCTAGCGATATGGCCTTCATAAACTGCTCATTGGTGTTCTCATTTATGCATCTCTTTTTGACAGAGACAGATCTGTCTTTAATAGCTGGAGTGATCAATATATCAAAAAAGATACAGAAATGATCAGATAGTGCCACATCCTTAACAGCAGTCGATGAAATGTGTAAACCCTTAGTTATAAGTAGATCAAGAGTGTGTCCACGATTGTGTGTGGGTCCTTGAACATGCTGAGTCAGATCAAAAGTGTTAAAAACAGTCATCAGTTCTTTTACAGCATTGATTTCTGGATTATCAATGTGAATATTAAAATCCCCAGCAATACTAAAATAATCATATTCAGATGTTACTATTGATAACAGCTCTGTAAAATCATCAATAAAAGCTGGAGAATATTTTGGAGGTCTGTAGATAATGATCAGTAAGATGCGTGGAGACCCTTTTAGTGCTATACTCAGATATTCAAAAGACAAATAGTCACCAAATGACACTTGTTTACATTCATACACATCTTTAAACAGGGCAGCGATGCCTCCACCTCTCCTATTAACTCTGCAAACACTCAAAAAGTCAAAGTTTAAAGGAGCTGCTTCATTCAGAACTGCTGCGCTACAACTGTCATCTAGCCAAGTTTCATTTAAAAGCATAAAATCAAGGCAATTTGTGTTGATAAAATCATTGACTAAAAGTGACTTATTATTGAGTGATCTGATGTTTAGAAGTGCTAACTTAACAGTTTTAGTCGTTTTCACTACAGAAGTCTCAGATCTACATTTAATAGACACCAGATTTGAATGATTTGCTATACGGTCTGAAAGAGTCTTTGGTTTTCTGTCACGTAATAAGACACATATCTGCGTAGAGAAAGCTGCAGACACACTGGGTTCCTGCTTGTTCTGTAAACATCTGATAAAGACACTGTTATCTAAGCAGGCCCCCGAGACACATCAATGGCAGTTTTTAAGTTCACCAGCTAAAGATGAGGTGTTTTTTGGGACCTGGCGCTGTCGCAAAGACCTGAGGCCTTTCCTAGGTGTAGGGCGAGGTGGGCTTAGAGATGGGCGTGTGGCTTGCTGACTTTTGGTTGGTAACTGGGGGCTAGCAGCAATGGAGTGTGAGAGTTTAGTTCCAGCACACACAAGTTCCTCCATCTTTTTTGAAAAATCCAAGAGAGGCGAGCAAGATGACAATGAGAACGTGTCCGGTGACAGAGGCTGTGGGTCTGGGGTTTCTGGCTGCTGAGATATGTTTACCTGGCTGTTTTCCTGGGGATCATCAATGAGTGCTGAGACTTGATGCTGTTCTGATGCATCACAGTCTGCATGTGTTGAGCTCAGTGTGCAGGGCGCAGACGGCAGTTTGTCCGTTATCGGCGGTTGTTGTGGCTGCGTGGTGTTATCTCTGTCCTTGTAGGATGCGTCAGCCACAAGTCCACTCAGGAGCTGATTTGAAGTCCTGTGGTCATCCGGACATTTGCTAGGTGTGTGTGTGTCATTCAGTTCAGTGGCATACACAGCTGATGGATGATGGAGGGAGAAGAGGATGTTGTCTTTCAGCACTTTTGCACCAAGCTTGTTTGGATGAAGGCCGTCTGATGTAAACAGCTGTCTTTGGTTCCAGAAGAGATTGAAGTTGTCGATGAAATTCAGTCTTTTCATGTTACATGTTTTCTGTAGCCATGCATTTAGACCAAGGAGCCTTGAAAACATATTTGTCCCTCTTGCAGGGAGTGGTCCACTGATGAACGGATGAATTTTCAATCTTTCAACTGTTTCCAAAAGCTCACAGAAATCTCTCTTGAGCAGTTCTGACTGCTCCTTCCGAATATCATTCTTCCCCACATGGATAATAATCCGTTTTGCAGTCTCATGTTTCCTTAATATGTTCTCAAGTTCTTTATTTATATCAGAAACTGTAGCATGAGGAAAGCAGTATGTCATGGTATCTCTGCTCCTAAAATTTTTGATTATTGAGTCTCCAACAATCAATGTTCTTATCTCTGTTGCGATCGGAGCAGAATGCCACTGTCTAGTCGGCCTTGAGCCTCTGTTCAGAGCAAAGTTAATTGCTGAGTCATGCGATCTCTGTCTAACTGCATTTGGGGATTCTTCACCCATATTACTCAAAACTTCATATCTGTTCTGAAGCTGTATTTGAGTCCGAGCTGTATTTGGGGTAGAGAACGCTAATGCAGCAGCGTATGACCTTCGTGATCTGACCCCACGAGTACCCTTTGGTCTCGCACCTTGTTTATGCCATAGTTCACGCTGATTTTCAACAGTTTCAATCTGTTTTTCTGTTCTCAAAACAGTAGCTGGAGTAGATTTATAGGGCTTACCGGCTGAATGCTGTGAGGCTCCACGATGAACCGGTCCTGTGTAATTCGACAGTTCTGGTTGGATCGCAAGTAACTTTGTTTCAAGAACTGCAATCTTTTGTAAAAGTTTGTGGCAGTTGGTGCAGCAGTGAGTTTCCAAATCAATATGATCCAGAGCCATTTTCACAGCCGTGTTTTCCCGTCTCAGGAATGAAAGCAGCTGGTAGCGGGAGGATTGTTTAGACGATAATTCCTCTAAATAAAAGTAAAGTTGTACTCCAGAAAGTTTGTAGATTCGATGTTGATCTTCAAGCTGTTTCGCTTGAGCACTGTGCTGATAGGCTCAAGTTAAAATTAGATTATAAAATAAAAAAGCAGGAGTGCAAGGAGCGGAGCAGTAGGCAAAGACGTCCGAACAGTAGCAAAGCAGGAGGCAGTTCATTGGGGTGTACAGTTTATATATAGCATGCATATTTAAGTGAAATATGCATATATCAATTTCCACAAAGCATTTTTGAAAGCATGGGACTTATATTAACATTTACATTGACCTATTGTAATTTCTGCAAAGAAAACTAATAAAATAAAACACAAATAAGCATTTTGCTCAAAATACACTCACCGGCCACTTTATTAGGTACAGGGTTGGCCCCCGTTTGTCTTCAGAACTGTCTTAAACTTTCATGACATAGATTCAACAAGTTACTGGAAATATTCCTCAGGTATTTCGGTCCATATTGACATGATAGCATCACACACTTGCTGCAGATTTGTCGGCTGAACATCCATAATGTGAATTTCCCGTTCCACCACATCCCAAAGGTGCTCTATTGGATTGAGCTCTGGTAATTGTGGAGGCCAGTGAACTGATGAGTACAGTGAACTGATTGTCATGTTCAAGAAACCAGTCTGAGATGATTTGCGGTTTATGACATGGCACGTTCTCCTGCTGGAAGAAGCCAGAAGATGGACATGGTCAGCAACAATACTCAGACAGGCTGTGGCATTGACACGATGCTCAATTGGCACTAATGGGCCTAAAGTGTTCTAAGAAAATGCCCCCCACATCATTACACCACCAGCCTGAACCGTTGATACAAGGCAGGATGGATCCATGCTTTCATGTTGTTGATGCCAAATTCTGACCCTATCATCCGAATGTCGCAACAGAAATCAAAACTTCAGACCAGGCAACGTTTTTTCAATCTTCTATTGTACAATTCAGGTGAGCCTATGCGAATTGTAGCCTCAGTTTCCTGTTCTAAGATGACAGTATAGTGACGCACTCAGTGTGGTCTTCTGCTGCTTTAGCTCTTCCGCAGTTGGACAGGTGTACCTAATAAAGTGGCTGATAATGAGTGTACATATAGATGTTAAAGGCAAATCCAGTTATAACTTTTTTTTTCCAAAGCTGTTTACATTTTCATGGTCTAAAATTTCTGTCTCGACTTCATGTGCTTGTTTTCTCACAGCCTTGATCTGGGAAAAGATAAACACATTTAATCACCATCTGTCGAGAGTGATACTGGTTTTATTTAAAGATGAAGCCACATTCCATTTACTGTAATCAGAAGATGATATTACACACACACACACACACACACACATACCACAGACAGACGCACACACACACATACCACAGACAGACACACACTTAATCTTAAAGGGAGATTTAGTTTTGTTAGCAATAAAACATTAAATTAAGTCTGCATGGAACCCCTTTGAAAACACTTGAAAATCGTTTACAGTACATCCACTTGTGTTTATTTGTGTCTTTCATCTGTTTATCTGTTCTTTGACCATTTAAAGCATACAATTTAGTTCAGTAGCTTTTTTTTTTTGCTCCAATTACATACTAAACAGGATGTTTAGTTGTACAAGTAGATAAACAGTTGGCAGTGAACAAGGGATATTATTACTCTTTGGAGACTTCTGATTCTTAAGAAGTTGGAAATTATGACAGTGCAGACATGAACTCATTGCACCATTTTTCTACATCGAACATGTAATGAAGTGTACATATTTAATGAGTAATTTAAACATGATACATTATTATTGTAATTGCATTCTAACAGTAAAATTGTATTTGGCACTTTTTCTCACACACTTGCTAACACACAATTTCTAAAACAACACACTGTGTTCTCTATCATTCAGATGACGACTAAAAATCCATCTCGTCCATGATCACCTGAGAACAAAACCTTCTCTCCATCTGACCAAACCACACAACAACCTCAAAACATGCAATTCTAAATGTGCTGCATACAGGTGAGTGGGCTTGACAAACCATCAGAAAACACACTCTTTGTCTCTTTGACATTTTAACAGATACTTTTACCAGTTTTGGACATTTGCACCAGACACTTTTTTACAGTCAATCCATATGTCGAAAAAAATGCAGTGAAATGAAGTGTGCTGCGCACAGGTGAGTGGGCTTGACAAACCACTTGTAGAAACATTCATCTCTCTATAAAAAAAGCACTCCCCCTCTTTACTCTAGCACTTAATTCACTGTGCACTAATGCCGCGGTCACACTAGAGTTTGAGCTTGCAATATTCTGTCGTACGTTGCTGCAAAAAGCGGGGCAAAAAAAATGCAGTATGACCACATATTGACAGTTCCTTTGTATAATTACAACCCAAGCTCATTCTGAATACATACCCCATATTTATTTCTGGAGAGCGCCAAATGCGTCCAAAGAGGTACGTTTTTTTGCCGTTTTTGTTGTCTCAAATCTGCTAGAGGCCGATGTTTATGCTTTCTAATATCTCAAATTTCTCTGGAGAGTGCCTTTTGTGCCTGCTCTTCTCACATAAATCCACCAGAGGCCGCTGTTGACTGACAGACCCCCCCTCCTCCTTCCCTGAACGCAACTGATAGTGTTTTCAAAAGCACCGATTGACCCGTCCCTTGTCTTCCCTAAACCCATCCAATGAGTGTTTTCATACGCACTGATTGACTAGAGCAGTGGTTCCCAACCTTTTTTTTGCCTGAGGCCACCTTTTTCCCCAGAAAATATTGTAAGGCCCCCCTCCACATTTAATGATAATGTCTTCTCAATTATATGTCACTTTGGACTAAATGTAAATGTAATGTTTTCACAACTATAAACACAATCCTAAAACTATACACCAACTTACACAAACTTCCAGGTCTAAAACAAATATTCTCTTCAGTCAAAATCTAATTTTGGCCTTCGATGATGTACAAGCCTGACAAATGTACACGGACTACCACATTGCATAGAAAACATGTCAGAGTAATTCAAAAGACTTGTGTTAAGTGAAGTTTGTTTATAAACTAATTTCGAGAGGAGCATGCGCTTATAATTGATAACAGCTGATCCTCATTAGCTAATACACGATCCACCAATCAGATGATTCCTGAATCACTATAAATAACGAAAGCATCTTACATTAGCCATCATTGTCTTGAAGAATTCCCCCCTTCCACCCCTACTCCTCTCTTTTTCTTATCAGGGCAGCACGGAGGTAAATAGTTGCCTTACAGCAAGAACGTCACTGGCTCAGACCTTACCTAGCCAGGTCGGTGTTTCTGTGTGGAGTTTGCATGTTTTCTCTGTGTTTTCGTGGGTTTTCCCCAGGCACTCCGGTTTCCTCCCACAGACCAAAAACATGTAGCATAAATAATTTGACAAACTAAATCGTCATTATAGGCAAGCAAAGAATTCAGCATACAATCTCCAAAGCTAATTCAAAATCAAGCAGGGGAGTTCTTGAGATCTACCTGAGCTCAGATTCCTCTCTCGCACTGCAATAGGAGGGAGCCCCAGGTTCAAGGATCTCACAAGCTCAGGGCTCTCTCCCGGGATAGCATGCCAAACACGCTTTATAATCAATCATCGGCAAGGGCAAACTCTTAAAATGCTCTTATTGGTAGTCAGGAATCTGTTAGGGCACAATAAAATACATAGATAAGCATTTACAATATTTCTATAACATTACTATAATAGTATACTAGTGATAATAATAAAAGTAATTGTAAATTATTGCAATTGTAAATTGTTATGTTAAAGAATTTTTTTTTTTACTCTCAGTACACTAAAACTCCTATTCAGCTTAAGTGGTAGTCACTGCAGAGGCAGAGTTGAGCTTCAGCAAGGGGCAGCTTGAGCTCCAGCTCCTCCTTGCTGCTCTTCTTTTGCAAATGATGTCACTGGGGCTTGGGCTTAGGGGTGGGGTGGGTGTACTCATTAAAACAGCTTATAATCGGCGCAATAACCTAGTGGTTAGCACGCTGACATATTGTGCAGCAGTAGCACTTCAGGGCGTTCTGAGTTCGAATCCTGGCTCGAGGACATTTCCTGTCCCTACCCCCTTTCTCTTTTTCTCTCTCTCTTTCTCTCTCTCTCTCCACCTTGCTTCCTGTCTAAAATACTGTCCTGTCCACTTAATAAAGGCAAAAAGGCCAAAAATAATTCTTTACAAAATAAAAAAAATAAAAAACAGCTTATAGGAGGAGAAGCTGGAGCTCAAGGTTTCCTTGTTGGAGCCTAGGTTGCTCTGCAGCGAGCAGCATCTTATTCAGCTGAACTCATTGGCCAGCTTCCCTCATTATATATATATATATATATATATATATATATATATATATATATATATATATATATATATATATATATGTGTGTGTGAAATCGAAATGAACTTGTGGATATGTAAGATTCCTATGTGGGGGTCATCCTGTGCTCAATAAAGTATTACCCCCCTCTATTTCATCAGAAATAAATGTTCTTTGGCCTCCTCCTCCTCCTCCTTTACCTTTCTATTTTCTTCTTTGAGATTCTGATGTGTGTGTCAAACATTTTGTTACTGAGTGTTAACACTTGTGTTAGAGCTTGAGCTAATTATATTTGAATAAATGTGGTTAAACTTGTGCAAGATTTAGGCAAATTTTGTATAAAGATTTGTGGAAGATGTTGAGGAAATTGAAACTTGTGTGATGTGATTAGTTTTGAGAACTGTAACAATGTTTTGAGAACTGAATTTATGGTTAGGAAAATCAGTAATAGGCCTTGTGTGTTAGCATTCGACAAAACCTGCAATGCTATTTGAGGCGAACATGCTCAAATTTGAAGCGTTTTAATAGTATATCCACAAGAGGGCAGTGTAACCACATAACAGAGCTTACAGTGCTGTCTGGCCGTAGACAGCCTGGTGAAGGGGTGGTTCTTTTTTTCAAGAGTGGTTCAAATACTGCATTTTAGTGACATTTTAAGCACTATTTTCAGCTGGAATAGCTTGTTGGGTGGTCATTATATGCACACTTTTTGATATTCCAAAATCATTTCATGAAAATTTAGAATAAAGACATATATTTATAATATATATATTAGGCAAATAACAAACTGGCCAGCAGATTAAACTTTTCTGTCAGAATTTGACCACATGAATAATAAAAAAATTAAACATAATAATAATAATAATTTAGAACTTCCTGATTTTTCTAGCTTCTCTTGTAAAACGTACATTTGAAAATTCATGAATATCAACAATAACCTAATTAGTTTTAGTTTATAAAAGTAATAAAAGTTAGCCTACTTTTAAATTGTATCACAAACTTACCCTTTTCCTACCTCGGTTTATTTTTTTCCGATGTGTGCTGCAATAATTCCATTACATTAGTTTTGTCTTGAGCTAGCAAATGTGTTTATGACATATTCAAACTAACTGAACACTAATTTAACGTTTTATAGTTTCATTGGACATCTTATATTGGATTTTATCAATCTTGAAATTGACTTTTTCCTCACATAACAAATTGTAAGTACTGTAAAAGTACTGTAATACTGCGCCTTCGCCACTAGACGGCAGTATAACAAAAAGGATCTTTGTAAGAAGATGATGGTTGAGTTTGAAGAATTTTGACGGTTGTAATGCTTAAAAATTAACTAATTTAAATGGGATTTCTTTTATATACACATCTGTACATTTATAGACCTGTTTTTATGTCTATTCTGAATCCTGAGGCTTTCTTTATGCTGAGAAGCTTTTGGGGAATAAGAACATGCTACACAATTTTATTAAAACTGCAGTTACCACATTTTTATTTGATTTGATTTAATTTTGACAGAATAAATTATCTTTTTTATAACCACTATTCAATTTAATTCATCTTTATTACCACCAACCTGATTTCACCAAGACATGTTCCCGGATAACATCTATGTTAATCCTGACACAACATTCCAGTCAGCCAATCAGAATTAAGGAATATGTTTACCATTGTTGAATTTAGGTTTACGCTTAGGTTTATGCACTTCTATGGTTGTTGTCCCACTATTATTCCCCTCTGATTTTGGGAATAATTTAAAGTTATGCTTGAGTATGGATATGGAATAGGCAGGGTGAGAATTATACATTGACGATCAGAGGCGTCAACTTTAATGTTAGTTTTTGTAATACAGGCTTCAGTGAATCAAATGTATATATTTTGTTTAATTTTCATCTAATTTATTAATAAATGTATTTAAGTTTTTAGTGTTTTGTGGGATATTTTGTGTATTCTGACCTACCGTATCCGATTAGCTACTTTTGAGGTTACTGTAAGTCAAATATGGATCTAATTTTACTTTTACTTTAGGCTATATTTAGAAACAAACAGCTATTTTACTAGAAAACAGTCTTGTGAATAGTGAAGTTGTCTATATCTGCCAGTTTCAGACCATTGAATACGTTTTTTTTGTTTTTTTGTTTTTTTTTCTTTTTCCGCAGATTGGCGTGATTATGCATTCACAGTGGTATGAACCATTATAGGCATGGTCAACTATATATTCAAATTATTAATAATTTTTTAAATATAAATTTTAATTATTAACATTATTATTTAAAATACAAAGCAGAGCCAATTATTTCCCAACATTAAAGAGCTGACCCCTATACATTTTGTTTTGATGTCCTTCAGGGTGTTAATTGGGGGGTCAATCCCACCCAAACCCCCCTGTAATTCGCACCCATGATTTCATTTTTGAACTAAAAATTATGTTCCAGGACCGACATGCACTCTCTGAAAAAATAGTACAATGTTGTACCAAAGAAGATACAAACCCTTGTCACTGGGGCAGTAACTTTTTATGGAACAGAATTGGACCTTAGGACAAAGAAACAAATGTGTTCCATTGCAGTCTGTACCTTTAACATGATTTGTACCAAGGAAAACCAAAATGTACCTTTGGTTTTTAAAACCTGCAGATACAACATTATACCTTCATCAAAGATGCAAACCTGAAAAGATACCACTACAGTGACAA